GCCGACCATTGTATCCTCTTTTGTTTCAGGAAGCTTGATACCGAGGGAGTATGAGTTCTGAATTGTAATGACAGCTTAACTATTTGTTTTCTCCACTATGAAAACTTCACAAGGTGAAAAGCATAGTCCAAAAAGCCCAAACCAAATGACCTTCGTGTCTGTGTGTACACATGCACGGGCATGCGCTCACAGCTAAAGAAGCCTTAATGAGCTAACAGTGATCTCATACTTAGATGTGTTGAAACGCTATAGACAAACTTTTAGGTAGAAGAGTAGGGACAATATTTTTATTTTTGACTAGACAGTTGTATAAATGTGTAAAAGTAGGGTGCATCTTGCATAGCATTAATTGAATGTGCAGAACACTGAAGCATGCCTCCTTGCTGCTTATTTAGCACTTTAATGTCTACCTTTACACATCTGCAAATTATAGACTCGTGGTAGTGAATGCTGGAATTAGTGTTGTAAAGCAGTTCCTATTATCCTCTGGGAGGTGCCTTCCATTGTGACCCTTTTCCCTCCTTTCTTTGTAAGAAACCAGGAAATAAAATGGAAAATCCTGTGGTAAGATAATTTTAAAGGTTCCAACTTAAATAGTTGTTAGAGAAGTCAGTTCTCCCAGAAATGTTAGCTTGCCTGTGTTGTTCCTACGGGCTATTACGGCTTAGCATAATAGCACACAAATGGTATCCTGAGAGCGTGTCATTATTCTCGTTCAGAAATAACATCTTGTGCTCTCATTTCTGGCTCTTAAGGTTGAAGGTAACAGAGACCTACTCTGGTTGCTCAAGGAACCAAGTTATCAAAAGGCCCTAGTAGGTCCCTTGATGATCCAAGGACAGGAATCATTTTACAGTTGGAGCATGTGGAAATGAGAATTGGGAGGTGGAAAACAAGGTGGTTTTCTCTCTGTTTTTACAAATCTGATGACCAAGTCACAGCCTCTCTGCCTCCTTCCACCCACTCCAGTTCACCATCTATCTGTAGGCTGGCTGGCTCTGCTGAAGCTTGGTGACCCATGCCATGAGGGACACTCCTAGAGTACATGCCCAAATGAATTGAATTAGCTCAGCTCATCTTTTTCTCCATGACTACCAGTTTTAGACTTCTGGTCAACCAGTAGATTAGTTGCCCATATATATTCTGCCCCCTAGCCCCACATTTTCAGTCTGATTTGTTTGGTTTAGGGGGTAAGGGAAGGGCTACTGACTTCAACAATAACAAAAGCCTGGTGGTTCCCACTCGATCCCAGTTTTAGGGAGAGGGGATGATGTATTGTCTCCAAGGCATCTTGAGGTACAGTGGGAATTGGGAGATTAGAAACTTGATGACCAAAGGTTTCCCCATTCCTACCGGCAGAAGGTTTTTGGCTGGGGTTGGTTGTGAGTCTACTTTGTGATGTGAGGATCATGATCTAATTGTTAATTATAGCACTGGTGTCCTCTCATTTATAGTGGTGCTGCAAAAATCTCACTCATGTTATTCTGGACCCACACTGGGTCTTGGCAACTTCTTTCTGGGCTCTGCCATCTTCCACATTTTATATTTGTATAAGTACTTTTTTCCTTAGCAATTCTTTAAGAATCTCCTGCTACTGGGCAAGCTAACACCACGAGAAACTGCACGTTTACTGGAATTGGGTAATTTCCTTGTTCAATAATGAAAGAACCAGCAGTGCGAAGGCGCCAGGATGTACGCCTGTGTTAAGTAGGGTGGTCTCGGGCGTTCCCCACAGGCTTTGTGCTATCCCGTCACTAGGTGGAGATGTAGCATTGTTTGGTGGCATAGCTGAAGCAAAAAGCGTGAGTCTTGATTTTATTATTTAAGGATTCTACATGTATTTGATGAGACTTATAACGTAGGAAAAACACCTTGTAAATTCCATATAATTTTGACTTTCAGCTTTCTTGTTTCTTGTTTCAGTTCAATTCTCATTTGCCCTCTGCTTTTGCACTATCAATTCTTTTCTGAGTCTCTTCCCTCTTGCTGTTTCTCATTCAGTCATCTTGTCAGAGAGTCATTCTACCATCTCTAGCTGTGGCTCCTTCTAGTGATTTATTTCTAAGAGTTTAATAAAATAACGAGAATTGTTACTCTGCGGTTAGACAACACAAAATTTTAGTCTGGTAGCATTGTGAGGTAAAGGAGTCAATACTTATAGTCTGAGTACCATATCTACTCGTGTATCAGCCAAGTTTTTCAGCACATTTCTAATGCAGTTTTGTGGTAAAATTCGGTGCCTCAGCTGATATTCAGGTCAGCTTATACTCGAGTATATACGGTATATTGTTTTCGTATTCTTTTAGCTTGGTATGTATTATGAGTAAGCATTGGACTGCTAACCTCAAGGTCAGTGGTTCAGATCTTCCAGCCTCTCTGAGGGTGAAAGATGAGACTGTCTACTCCCCTCAAGATGAACAGTTTCATTTAGAAATCCCTATAGGGTCACAGTGAATCAGAATTGACTCAGTGGCAGTGAGTTGAGTTTGGGTATAGGACCCATATTTTTCGCTTTCTTCTTCCTTTTCTTCCTCGTACCTCACGAATGTTAAGCAAGTGTTTATTCTATGCATAGTATTGACGTGGAGAACATAAAAGAAACACGAAGCTGTCTACGTAGAACTGATATCCAGTGGAGAAAATTGTAGATATGGCCATGAAGTATTTAAAAGTAACCTGATATCTGATCTTTAGAAAGTGTAATGATTAAACTTAAAAAATCTTGCTTTGGAAAACCATCTGGCAAGCCCTCAATTAAACCCAGGTACCATCTAACCCAGTAATTCCACTCCTAGATATATTCTCAAGAGAAATGAAAACGTATGGTTATATAAAAACTTGGACATGAGTGTTCATAGTGGCCTTAACAATAGCCAAAGTGTGACTTTGTATTAACTAATACACAGATAAACTAAATGTGATATAGCTATACAATAGGATATTGTTCAACAATAAAAAGGAACGACGTACTGATAAGTGCAACAACTTGATGCACCGCAAAAACATTATACCGAGTGTAAGAAACCAGATGCAAAAAGGCACTTATTATTAAATTCCATTTATATGAAATGTCCCAAACTGGAAATCTATAAACACAAAGTGGATTCATGGCTACCAGGGACAGGAAGGGGGCAGTGAAGAGTGGTTGCGAGCAGTACATGGGACTTCTTTGTGAAATGCTGAAAATGTAAAATTTTCTGTGATGGTTGCACAAATCTGAAAATACACTAAAAACCTTTGACGTGTACACTTTAAGTGGATGGGATTTTTTATTGCTGCTGCTGCTGTTGTTTAGCATGTGAATTATATCTCAGTAAAACTTTTTAAAAGGCTATTATCAAAAAGGTTTAACATTTATCCATCCAAGGATTATTTGGTGATCGTCTGCACAGGCACCATGTTGCTCCTCATAGTTGTTAAATATCAGCCCCAACCTATCACTTTTAATTAACTTAGAGGATGTGTTTAAACATACCCATACCTCATTTATTGACAGGGTTAGATTCCAAAGGCCACATCAAAATTATGGTAGATTAGATAACTGCCATATTACATCATTACGTAACTGCCAAACTACGGAGGATCATGGCCGAGCCAAGTGGACACATAACCTTAACCATCACAGCCAGCAGTACTCCTGACTTGCACCTCGGCATTCGTCACTACTAGCTATGCATCATTAATACCTAAAATAGTTGGATAGTAGTTTTCTTACTATTGTAAATAAGAAATGTCAGGTAATGAGAGTGTAGATAGGTGAGGAGTACGCGTAGTGATGTCTCTAATAACTTAAATCATATGGCTCATGGAAACTCATTATTTCAAATATTTATTGCCAAAATAATCTGGCAACTCCTAAGGCAGTTTTGAAAATGATAGCTATTAATCTTCATTGCTATATTTTAGCCAAATTTCATGATAATCAGAAGTAGTCTTGAGTTGCAGCTGGAGGACATTACGCTGGGTAAAGTTAGACAGTCACAAAAGGACAAATATATTAAAAGGAAAGGTTTTTATAAGAAACAGACTTTGATGGTTCCCAGGGTTGGGGAAGGAAGGGAAAACAAGACGCTAGAAGGTGGACAGGTGTGAAGGGCAGGATAATACCCAGCAGGAGGGAAGAGGGGCCACGAAAAGGAAATGGGCACGCTATTGTGAGGTTGGATATGCGGTTGACGGCAAAAACGATCATCAGATCTGTAAACTCCCAACCCATGCATGAAACGTAAACTCACCGCCATCGGGTCCCAACAAAAAGTTAAGAGAAATAGTCTTCAGTATGCAGACTTCTATGAAAAAATACTCTTTTGGGGGAGGGTTTTACAAAACCATGTGCTTAGTATATAGCTAACTCTATCGCTGTTGATGAGCCCTGGTGATACAGTGCATTAAGCATTGGGCTGTGAACCATGTGGTTGGCAGTTCAAACCTACAACTCACCTCATGAGAGAAAGGTGAGGATTTCTGTTCTCATAAAGATTTACCTCGTTGGAAGCCCACAGGGGCAGGATTACTATGTTCTAGGGTCGCTGTAAGTCAGACAATCAACTCGATAGCAATAGGATTGGTTTATTAGTCCAGTTTTTTAATTTGATGACAATGTTGTGATCCTTAACAATTGAGAGACAAAAACTGGCTTAGTCATAGTAATTATCAAAGTAAAAAGAAGGCTTTACCTTGAAGGTGGTAGTTAGTTTTAAATCAGTTGTTCTTCTATTAAATGTATGTATATACATGCTTGTGCCCTGGTGTCACAGTGGTTAAGTTCTTGGTTGCTGACTGAAAGGTTGGTGGCTTGAGTCCAGCAGATGCTGTGCCAGACAAAGATGTGAGAGTTTGTTTCCGTAAAGATTGGAAAGTGTGGAAACCCACAGGGATGGTTCTGCTCTGTCCTAAAGGATTGCTGTGAGTTGAAATAGACTCCACAGCAATGGGTGGGGTTGGCGGGTTTCGTGCCTATGCCATGAGTGCAGCCGCTGACCTCCTTTTTGTTGTTACAGATGCCTATGAAACAGCCAAGATGCTCTGTGAACAGTATTACCTGGTAGCTCCGGAGCTGGAGGTTCAAGAATTCAATGGTAAAGTAAATGATCATTTAAAACTTCAATGCAAGGACGTCTAAAGGACTGATTAGAACTGAGCTACATTTTAATGTGGCCCTAAAATTATACTGCTTTAGAATCTTTTGAAAAGTTACCTCATCTCTTGATCCACCCAGGTGTGCTATTGTGAGGCGCTTTCGTTCAGGAATGTGTAATGCATTAGACCCCAAAGTCCGTGGAACAGAAGTAATCAAGGTAGAAAATGCAAAAAGATAAAAGGTGTTTCTGCAAATAACAAACGCAAAGAGTTAATAAACGTATGGAAAAGTGTTTAGCAAATAACAAACGCAAAGAGTTAATAAACGTATGGAAAAGTGTTTAACTTGACTAATCAAGGAAGTGCAAAAAAAAACCCTCACAGAAATGCTATTCTTATCTTTCCAAATGTCATAGATTGAAACATTTTACTGCTCAGAAAAGTGCTCTTACCAATACATGTCTGCTGTAAGTTCAAATTAGTACAGTCTGTCTCGAAAAATATTATCCATCAGGGAGAAACACTAACCATGCCTGTTATCTTTGGTCACATGTGCCGTGGTCCAATACATAAAACTTGAGTAAATGTGTTTTAAGATGATAGAGTTTTGGGTACGGGTATTTCCAGTGAAGGATTCCCTCCCCCCAAATACACCAAAACTCTGTTTCTCTTAGAATGAAATCAAGATGTTAAAAGAATTCAGTGTACTGTTGAAGGACAATTGCCCCTACATTCTTTTTTTTAAATCATTTTATTGGGGGCTCATACAACTCTTATCACAATCCATATATCCATCCATTGTGTCAAGCACATTTGTACATTCTTTGTGATCATCATTCTCAAAACATTTGCTTTCTACTTGAGCCCTTAATATCAGCTTCTCATTTCTCCCCTCCTTCCCCCACTCTCCCTCCCTCAGGAACCCTTGATAATTTATAAATTATTGTTATTTTGTCATATCTAACACTGTCCAACGTCTCCCTTCACCCACTTTTCTGTTGTCCGTCCCCCAGGGAGGGGGTTATATG